CATCCTATAAAATTCATTTTTCACGGTACTCTTTTCAGTTTTCACTATACTAAAAATTTCTTATAAGACTTTTCTCCAATATTCTATATAATTTGTCTTTTCTGAAAATATATATCTCTAATCCTTAATTTCTAGTCTACAACACCATAATATATTAGTAAACATCACTACTAAAACTATTTATAACAATTATATCAGTAAGCATCATTTGTAAACCTATCTATTATGATTTATGTATTTACAAAAATTTCCAATTATTTCAAACTCAAATTTTGATCAGCTTGTATAAATTAAAGGCTCCAAAACGTTTTTACGAATCATTAAATCAAGAAAGTTCTCATAATATGTTTTAAAAAGTTAACATATAATTATGGCGAAATTAAAAATTTAAAACATTAAATACACCTATACATATTGTAAATGTCATTAATCATAATGAAGGTTCGGTTAAGCTTGAATTGAAACCACACTCTTCATTTTCTCCAATATGCATCAATTATCAAGCAGCAATGAACATATATCTCAAACTTTATGCAGTATAAAACTAAGGAATCAAGTAATCCATGCACCACCTTTCACAGGTGGTTAGATCATCATCGCCCAACGAACTTGTCTCTCACCATTGGTTCTAATTTCGATACAAAGTCTATCTTGTATCATGCGCTTCAACACTAAACATAAAGTCCAAAAAGCTGATCTCGAGTACACAATATTGTTGCATTGTCATGCAGCACACGACCGTGGTAACTAGTCCTATCACATGTGTTTTCATGTTCTGTCCGAAACTAATTCTGGTATGGACCTGGAAAAGGTAGAGCCCTCGCGTGGACACCACTGACTCTCACGATACTCCACCTGAATGTCGGACCATCATGGATCGTTCCTAATAAAAAGTCAGTGGTTTTACGATTGTCTTTGTTACAACATGCCCAATCACATTATATTCTATGAGCTAAGGCCAAACAATATAACGCAATTACACAGTTATATGCATCACAACATCAATATCTCACAAACATGATACACCCTCGAGTTAAGGCCCAAACGATATAATTCAATGTATTTCAGAACATCAATCCTTATCATATCATTTTATTTCTAAACATGCAACCTAGTAATGCATCAACCAATACTCTTGTTTTGCAAAGGCTAGCCGCACATTCAATAATCAAAACCCATAACCAAGATTCAACTTGGGCGGTTGAGTGGCTGGTGTGACCTTAGCACAATATCCTTATTATGCTCTAACACATTTATCTCATAGTCAGCACGACTCGAAACTTCTATCAAATTAGTCATAAAACAAATTGAATCTTGTTGTTCTGTTATTCGGAATCAGGATCTAAATCTAAATCTTAATAAAACTAAATTTAAAAGGAAGCAAAATACTAAAAAGTTTACCTTAATGCTCGGGTGTTCTTGGACTTCCTATGGTCGAATTTTAGTGTGGTAAATGGGTGTGGGGATATTTATAGGTGAGGAGAATAAGGTCATGGGTAGCTAGCATGAGATGGTCTGGCCGCCCAAAACAACTAATGGGGGAAGATTAGCGTCCAGACACAAATCAACCAATCCCTATGCAACATGATCAGCTTGGAGGTGGTCCAGTCAGAGAGGCATGTCTACATATACTTGAAGGAGGAGAGCAAGCAGCTGCATCCTCCATAAACTTTCGGATGCACTCGAGACGCCGTAGATGGACCAGAACGAGCCACATTTAATTCCAAACATGTCATTCTCCTCAGTTATGCTCAGAAATTGGGTTTGTTTTATTTAAAAAAAAAGTTCGATAACTCAAATCCTAACTGAAAAGGTCAAGATAAAATCAAGAAAATAGAATTTGAAACTTTCAGAGACAAAGACAAAATCATGAAAGAAATGAGAATTCTAGACAAACTTACGCTGAACCATATTCGTCGATTGTCTACTTTCTTCTGCTTCTAGAAATCGAGGTAACATTCTTTTCTGGTTCTTTCTTTTGTTTTGTTCAGTCATGATTTGGAGTTCTGAGAAATTTAGGAAGACATGTTTGAGTTTAGTTTGATTGATGTTCTATGCATTTGTTCGATGAAACTATGAACTATATTTTGTTTGATGTGTTATGTGAATTTGTTCCATGAAAGGGTGAACCTATGTTACAGAACTTACTACGTTGATCCATGGTGTTGGTGTAGAGAGGAACACGATCAACACACCCAATTGTTTGATGAAATTCTTAGGAGAGAGATCATATATGATTGTGGAGTTATAATGTTTTGATGAGAAATCTGTTGAAATGCAGAGATATAAGTGATGCTTTACCACAAAATGAAAAGAAATTGTTTGGTTCCGAAAACACCAACAGCTAGTGTTATGTTGATAAAGTTGTTTTGTAAGAAGGATAAAGTTAATTGAGGACCAGAGATGTGGAAATATGTGTTGGAGAAATGGTATTGCTTTCATGGCCGCACATTGTGTGCTCGAAGAAGAACCAATGATGCATTTGAGTGTTCAAGGAAGATAGTGGAAAGAGGAACGTGCGTGAACAAGTTATAATTTAGAATGTTAGAGACTCCCTTATCAAACAAAGGTAAACTGGAGAAACTAAAACACCTCAAGCAGAAAATGATGAAGACGGATAGTATTTTGCCGCCTCTTAGAACATAGCTAGTGTAGAAGGTAATTCAATGTAATTGGTTTTGTTTGCAAACCAACCAGATTGTGAGATTTGTATGTTCAAATTATATAAAATATTCAACAGAATATTGACAATTTTGTAAGTTGCAATTTCATTTCTAAAACTGTGAATTTTATTTTCAATGATGTTTTAAACTTTTTTATAACATCAATGATGTTTATACATAAACATGTATTATTTATAAAATTTTGTATTAATCCTATTAATAGAGTATTATACATACAAAAAAAAAATTCTCAGTTTACTCCACGATTTTTTTTCTGATTTTTCAATAAATCGTAATGTTTGGATGCATAGGGCTGGGCAAAAAAAAACCGAACCCGAAAATTCGAACCGAATCCGACCCAATAAAAAGGAATCCGAACCGATCCGGACCCGACATAAGTACCGAATGGATCTTGTTTTACGGTATTTCGGGTTATGGGTATTACCCGAACCGAACCCGAACTTAAATGGATATCCGAAAGAACCCGAAACTTTAAAATTCCAAAAAAACTTATATCATATCCAATCTAAATTTCTAATATGTTTCCAAAACTGATTAATATATTATTGAGTACCTACAATAATTAGTTATGATATAAATATTTAACTCAAATATTGTCTAATATATAGTGTTATTTGGTTAATATTAATGTTTATGATTGACATTACATTTGAAGTTAAGCTACGAATAAATTTGTTTTGAAGTTTATATAATGTTGTTTTTAAAAGTTTAAATAGCACTTCTTATGTTTATAGAATTGTTAGTTGTTAACTTTAATTTTTTATGTTTCATTATGTATTATATTTCGTTCATACAAGGCTTTGGTTTGTCATTAATCATGATATGTTTAGTGTTGTCACATATAGTTCATAGACAAATCTTATATGGTTGATAGATAAGTTTCACAATATTATTTTGAAGGAGAACAATATGGTTTGTAGAAGCTAAATAGACAAATTTAATAAAATGATTGAAAATATAGTGAGTTTAATTGAGTATAAATTAGTGTTTTTAGAACCGATAACCCGATTAGTATCCGAAACCGAAACTATTTCGGGTTCAACCGGATCTTGGACATGTTACTAAACCCGAACCGAACCCGACTAAACCCGAACCGAATCCGACCCGAATTTTTATAATATCCGAATGGGGCTAAAATTCATGAACCCGAAAACCCGAAACCCGAATGAACCCGAACTGAAACCCGATTGGGACCCCGATTGCCCAGTCCTAGGATGCACTATACTTATAGCGTATAGCGAATTTCCAAACAAGGATTACTACAAATAATCTTAAATTAGTCTAGTTTATTAGATAAGACCTATTATGTTCTACAAGATTTTTAAATCTTTTGAGGGCTTGTACAACCTATTTTGCTTTTTGAAGCATTTTGGATTTTAAGTTACACTACTTGTAATCTGCTAGTAATGATATTAACAATATATATATATATATATATATATCCTCCGAGTCTATATGTATTCATATATGCCAAATCAACGTTTTGTAGATATATTTTGGACCTGCTGTCTGAGGATTCGGATGGTTTTGACTTTTGAGGAATGATCCGGCCTCCGGGATAATACGCTAGTGGAGTTTAAAGCACCCGCACTTCATGCGGAGATAAATGGAGTTTAAGGCACCGGCACTTCATGCGGAGATAAATGGATTTTATTGAAGCCCATCGGCCTACATCTAGACTTACTATTTGTAGATTACGTGATCTCCTCCTCATGCATCTCTATGTTTTAACTTTTTTGTTGTTCTTCTCTTTTCTTATTGGTAAAGGTTTTTTTTTTTTTTTTTTTAGTAAACTACATATGTTTCTTATAATATTGTACAATATCAATGTGTGAAGAATAAGTGTGCATCGTATGCAAGAAATCGACTACGTGGATACATGATCTGCCACTACTTTTACCACCTTCCATGTCATAACATTCCAAATTTAACCGCAACATATTCATTACAATGACGTTACAAAGAAAAGTTCTTCATTACTATTTTGTAAATTGCAAATAACTATGCAAGTAAGGTAATCATTATGATTATTTATTGTTTTTAGTTCTGTAGGTTACAACGTAGTGTTTTATATATTTTACACATAGTTCAAGGAAGAAAACAAAAGGATAGTATATATCTTTTTAGTCGGCCTTGTTCTATAGATATTTCTCATATTTTCTTGTCGACGTAAAAGATATTTCTCATATAAGTACTCCACCTTGTCACTTAATAACGAAGATACAAAGATATCTATTCTATCTTATACGAGACCACGTGAACAACGGTCGATAAAAGTGCAAAATCGTAAGCACAAGAGATAAAACAAACAAACAAATGAAAACATCTCAACAACAACATCGCTGCGGTTCGACACTAGTGCAGACCATCGATGCTCCATTGTCTCTGGTGTGGTCAATACTACGACGTTTCGACCACCCGCAAGCCTATAAACAATTCGTGAAGACGTGTGATCTAAGCTCCGGCGATGGAGGAGAAGGCTCCGTCCGTGACGTGACGGTGGTTTCCGGTCTTCCGGCGGGTTACAGCATAGAGAGGTTAGATGAGCTCGACGATGAGTCTCACGTGATGGCGATCAGCATTATTGGCGGTGACCATCGTCTCGTTAATTACCAGTCTAAAACGACGGCGTTTGTGGCGGCCGAGGAGGAGAAAACGGTGGTGGTGGAAAGTTATGTGGTGGATGTGCCGAAAGGAAATAGTGTGGAGGAAACAACGTCGTTTGCTGATACCATCGTTGGGTTTAATCTTAAGTCATTGGCCAAGCTGTCGGAGAATATGGTGTCCAATCGAAAATTCTAATTTTAAGATTTTGTAATAGTTATGTTATAGTTTTAAAGTTATAAGAATTAAAACCCTTATTTAACGAGGGTTGGTAAATGGTACGCAGAAGTTCCGATAGCAATAGCAACATACTTCTATAATATTAAAACAAATTATGCTTGATGTTTTTATGCTTAAAATTATGCTTGATGTTTTTATGCTTAAAATTTTTGTGGATTATTCAATGAGACGTACAAAATAATTATCAAATAAAAAATAAATTGAAAAAAATATTTGATAATTTTTATTATAACATATTAATATAAACATTACTCAACATGAAACAAATTAAAAAGATTAATTATATCTAATGTCAGTTTTAAATCTTTCAAATAAAAATAATCAATTATACTATTTTGATTTTATTATGAACATAATTATTATAATATTGTATTTTTTATTGGCTATACATCGGCTTAAACGGTTAGTTTCAGATTTTAGCGATTTTATGGATTTTATAAAACTTTTAAATAATAGATTCCTTAAAATCAAAACAAAAATATATCGAATTAGCGGGTTTACCAGTTTTACCTCAGATTCACATCGGGATTAAAAATGATGATTTGAATGTAAAATGTTTTAAATATTGTAGTCAAAATTCTTATAGATTTAATAAAACATTTGTAACATTTTTAAGTGTGGATCAAAATCCTTGAAATTTAATAAAAATTAAATTTATTTATTTTATAGAAAAATTATATACAGTATACATCTATAAATATAATTATATTTTCAATATTTTAAAAATGTATAGTGGATCCGGATCAGGATATCCATACCGAAATTTCACTATACGGATCCGTAAAATAACTATATGATCCAGACACTTGGATATCTGTTTATTCGAAGCGGATGAAAATTTACCCAAACCGGATAACATATAGTGGATATTAAATCTCATGTCTAACAAGAAGTAACTAAACTCTCAACTAATCTTCAAAACGCAAACAGTTAAGGTTAAATTTAATTTTACATTTCGAACAAGCGTACATAATTAGTGTTTTAACTACAAAATTATATTTATGTAATACATTGTTGAACACTATTAATTAAAAAAACAGTTTTAATATTTTTCTTTAAATATAAAATAGAATTGGAAAAATTCAAAACTATATAAAACAAAATTATATAGAATACATCTAAAAAATAAAATCTGCACAAATGCACAAATCATGATCTAGTTGTATAATTAAAAAACTTCTAAAATAATTGAAAATAAAAAGAACGACACTATTGCTCACGTTGGATGAAAAGGTCGAGCCTTAATTATTTAAAAAAAAAAATCGGAACTAATGATGTTACAAACTTTAAAATAATTTCCATACATTTTCCAAAGTCAGTTCCATATTTTAGTTAACTAAACTCGGCCTCTAGTCGACAGTCAACATTTACTGTTTAGATTATGTGACGTCCATTGGGCGTCACGTAACGGATTGATGGGCCTTGTTATCTTCGGGAGCCTCATCATATTTCGTTACATTTGGCTCTTTTTCTCTGTTTTCTTTCTTCAAAACGTCTTTGGTGTGTGTTTTGTTTGATCGGTCTGTAGGAACACTGACACATGCTCAATTACCAGCAAGCCACTTTGTAGCTAAAAGTTCATTTTCATTCTGCCTAGCACGCAAACTTTTGTAATCTTACAATTAAATTATGTAAACCAAAACAATTTTCACAGTGTAAAAAGTTAATTAAATAATAACAACCAGAGTTTATGCACGGATAATTTTCATTTTATACATTATTTTAATCATTAACAATATTATTTTCATAACTTTATGCACAGATAATTTTCATTTTAATCACTGACGATATTATTTTCATAACTTTATTATTTATATATCCTATAGCATTGTCGATATGTAATAGTTTATTTTTTATATTTTGTTATTCGTTGTACTGAGTATTAATATATTCAATAAGTAGATAGATTTCTTATTTTTAGTAATAAAATATAGATTTTTCACAAATAAAAATATTCAATGTTTTATAATGTACATAGAATATTTATATTTTCATATTTAAAAAAAAAGTTATCCATTTATGTATTATCTTGTATGTTTACAACTCAATAAAATTCAACATTAGATTCATACTGCAATTATTTAATAGAGTTTGTTTGTAAATTGCAATTACTATATTATAAATTATTAATATCTGCCACTTTATGAGTTATTCTTTTATAATCTTGTAATTTAATTTAAACCAAAAGAACGTTATTTGAACATTAATAAAGTGACTGTTTAAGAAAATGAAAAAGCAAAGTTGGAAGAAGATTAGGTAGGGCTGGGACTTATTATCCGGGATCCGGATTCGATCCGAGATCCGCTCCGAAAATAGAAAATCTGGGGCGTCCGGATCCGAATGCAGATAGTAAAATCTCGAATCCGTGCAAACCGAATCCGGATCTGGATACAACAATTTTTAGTTCCGGATATCCGAATCCGGATCCGTGTTTTCTAAAATATATTAATTTTTAGTTCTATTAATAATTATATTTAATATATTAATATTTATACATAAAAATTAGTCTTATATATTATATCTTGATTTTCATAATATTATATATCATAAATATATTTGTAAATTGTGTAATTATATTTAATTTATATATTAGTTTTTAGATATTTTTTGTATTTTAAATTTTTTTTTTTACGGATCTGAATCCGAATCTGAATATCCGCGGATATTACAATTTCTAGACGGATATCCGAACCCGGATATCTAAAAGACACAAATCTGAATCTGGATACTAAAATTACGGATCCGACGAGATCTGAATACTCTAAATTTCCCGGATATCCGGATTCATCCCACCCCTAAGATTAGGTGGACCGTGGACATAATGTTTTTTTTTATGAGTGAGAATGGACAATAAAACTTCTATTTATTCACTATCCTATATATTTATTTCTTTATCTTTGTTTTGTAAACTAATTCCTTTATCATTTTCAACTAAACCTAAACAAAATACACAAATTGATATATTAATACAATAAAATCTAAAACTTTTATTTAAATACATACTCTTATTTGTATAACTAATTAATAGTTATATAAATTTGTGCACATGAAACTTGTATTGGGATTGTACTAAAAATGTAAGAGGAGGATTTTTTTTCCGACAAACTTATGTTTTATTGATATGAAAGCATAATATCTGAATACAAAGTTGGAGTTAACTGGTGGATAAATTTTACAATTTTCAATTATAGAATTTGTTGGACCTTGTCGGGCATACAATTATATGGGCAGCTTTTTTTTTTTTTTTTTTTTTTTTTTTTTTTTTTTTTTTTTTTTTTTTT